ATCTTGAAATGCAGAAAAGCAGAGAACAAGCTGGTTTCTGCTCAGGGTATTAAACAATTGATCACATCCACTCAGCTTGGCAACTCATCGAAAAATGCAAGGAATATAAAGTACCATTATGTATTGCATTTGTTGACTACAAAAAGGCATTCGACTTGGTCGAGATTAACCCTGTATTCAGTGCGCTCAATGAAATCGGAATCAATCCAAGGTACATTGACCTGCTGGAAGAAATTAACCACAATTGCTTGACAGAGATAACATTATTCAATGTCCCCTAAATTATTACTATACACAGAGGAGTCAGTCAAGGCAACACAATCTCACCGAAGCTGTTTGCAGCAGTACTGCAGTCGCTGTTCAAAAAATTGAACTGGGAAGAAGGAATCAAAATTGATGGAGAACAGTTAATGCATCTTCTCTTTGCTGACGACTGTGTAATACTGGCAAAGGATATAGCACAACTGGAGAACAAATTGCAGCAACTGCAAACACTTTTGCATGATATTGGGTTGGAAGTGAATACGTCCAAGTCAAAGTGGATGTGGAATGAGCATTGTGCAGAAGGAATCATCACTGTAAATGGGAAAGAAATCTCATCAAATATATTTACCTGGGTCAGCAGCTGAGCAGAAACAACTTATTCAAAGGGGAGTGCGGTAGGAGGGGAAAGGTTAGGTGGGCAAGTTTCAACAAAATAAAGACGTCTCTAACAGATGATGAACTGCCCATGAAGAAAAGGAAAGATTTATTAACTAAGAAAAAGAAATGAGTTATTTACAAGGTTAAAGTAGGTAAACATACACACACACACACACACACACAAGTTACAGTTTTAGGTTCCAAAAGTCACTAAGCCACAGGATTTGGGGACTTCAACAGCAGAGTCAAGGGAAGGGGTAGGGACGGCTTTGTGGCCTGCAACATGCAGGGGGTCAGACCAGATGATCATAATGGTCCCTTCTGACCTTAAAGTCTATGAGTCTATGAGTAGAAGCTTCTGTAATGGGCAAGCTCTGTATGTCCTTTAGGACTAACCAAGGCCAAGCATGAGGGAACTTTTGCTTATGCTTAATAATCCTTGCTCCTCAAAGTCAAAGCAGCATAAAGATAGTTTCTTCTTGTCAGAGGTTTTTATTCCCTTCCCCCAGAGTTCAAGTTGAGGGGATGAGTTCACGTGTACATCTCCTCTTTTGAGGTGGGGTGGGAGAAAAGTAAAGTCTTTTGTCCTCTGACATTCCACAATGATTCATCTGGTGTTGATGGGCCTTCTGTTGTTGGGCAGGAGATAACACCTCCTGTGGCAAACTAGTATTTCACACTTGGTAATGCGTCTCTCCTGACTGTTGGTTTACAGTTTCAGAGCAAACACTGTTACAGTTACAGAGTAAACATTTAAATATTACCTTATACCATAGGATACAGATATTATATGTGAGGTTACTGCATGCAGCAGCAACTTACTATTTTAACAATACTAGCACCCAGGTGAGCTTGACTGGTTTGCAGCTTTGCTTTTGTTAGTGTTCACTTGAAGCCTTGGGGCCTTGGCATGAGCTGGCACTTGTTCTGCCAGTGTCACAGTCTGATCAGCCACTCTGACACCTGGCAAACTTGTACCAGCATCTGGCTGATTCAGACATTGCTCTTTTAGCTGCCCTCTCTGACCATGGACTCACAGAAGTGTTGTAAAAGAGAGACAGGCTTGGTTGGTTAAGCCAGACTCTTGTTTGACTGAAGGCAAGAGATAAAAAAGAGAACTAAGGTGGTGAAGGAAAATGACACATGAAGGAGAATGTGACAGCAAGAATCAAAGTCTCGCCTCCCAGGTGTTATTCAGAATCTAGCTGGAGCCCGTGGAGGTGATGGTGTCACCTGAGTTCCTCTCTCTGGCCCAGTCTGGTCAAGGCACCTCTCAGGATCAGGACAGTCCTGTGTCCCAGCCTAGCCTGATTCTCCCCCCTCACAAAGTCTTTTTTTTAGGACCCCAAAAGGGCAGTGATGGGTGGAATAATCCATCCGATTACTTTGTCCACCAATTTGACCTAATTTGCAACACAATAATTTTGATCCATTGATTTCTGGGTCCACACTTCCCTTGTTTACCAAACATGATCTCAACACAATCCATGAGTTCTATCAATAGACTTTTGTCTGGGCTAACCCAGCCTTTCTGTCTCCCCTTCCTATCTTTTTCCACCAACATTTATTGTTATAGGTAGTGGGAACATTTTATAAACATGTATGCACTTTACCACAGTTAAACTCACAATTGGGATAAGCCTGTGTGACAGTATATATACCTGAGTTCACACCCTACATGCTATTGTAATAATTCTTGTACAGGGCTGTAACCGTGCCTCAGTGGGTCACAACTGAGGCAGGAGCATAGCTGGGGGGGAGCAGGGGGAATGGCCACTCCCCCACTGAGCATATTCACCAATGGTGGCACCTTGCCACCGCCGACTCTGGGTGCTCTGGGGCTGGAGGGAGCGCCCACGGGGAAAGCCCAGCCCAGCTCCCTGGTCCCCGCCCCGAGCCCCTGCCCAGCTCACCTCCAGTCCGCCTCCACTCCGCCTCCTCCTCCCCTGAGCGCCATGTTCTGCTTCTCCCCAGCCCTGGCTCCCAGCACTTGCACCGCGAAACTGATTCGTGGCAAGCCTGGGGGGGAGGGGAGAGAACGCGGCGCGCTGGGGAAGAGGCGGGGCAAGGGCGGGGATTTGGGGAGGGGTCCAATAGGGGCAGGGAGGGAGTGGAGTCAGGCGGGGCAGAGATTTGGGGAGGGGTCCAATGGGGCAGGGAGGGGGCGGAATCAGGCGGGGCAGAGATTTGGGGAGGAGTCCAATAGGAGCAGGGAGGGGGTGGAGTCAGGCAGGGCAGAGATTTGGGGAGGGGTCCAATAGGGGCAGGGAGGGGGCGGAATCAGGCGGGGCAGAGATTTGGGGAGGGGTCCAATAGGAGCAGGGAGGGGGTGGAGTCAGGCAGGGCAGAGATTTGGGGAGGGGTCCAATAGGGGCAGGGAGGGGGCGGAGTCGGGGCAGGGCAGGGTTGCTCTTCAGCTGCTGGCTCTTGACTCGCTCCAGGTCTTCCAGGCACGTTGGTGGCAGGCCCTGCAGAGTCGCCAAAGACCCAGTAGGGAACTGCCCAGTGAGTACAAGCCCCCTGCCCGCCCCATCCAACCCCCTGCCCCCCCTCAGAACCCGCAACCCATCACCCCCTCCCCCTGTCCCCTGACCCCTCCTGAGACCCCCCATGACCGCACCCTCTACCCTACCCCCCCCCATCCCCTAACTGCCCCCCCTAGAACCTCTGTCCCCTCCAACCGCTCCCTGTCTCTTATCCAACCCCTCCTCCCAGCCCTGGCCCGGCCCGGCCCCCTTACCATGCTGCTCAGGACAGTGTGTATGGATGCCTCACAGCCCACTGGAGCTTGCAGCCCCACCTCCTTACCATGCCGTTCAAAGAGGCAGGAGCTGCAGAGCTGCCCAGGAGCGGTCCAGAGCGCTGGCGGCACGGCACGCTGAGGCTCTGCAAGAGGGGGGAAGGCAGGGGAGCCTCCCCAGCCGGGAGCTCAGGCAGGCCGGATGTGGCCCGCGGGCCGGTGTAATGACAGAAAAACCTCTCTCTCCCAATTGCCCACCCCTTTAACAACCCGTTCTAAACCAGCTTCTAAATTTAACAACCGGTTCAGGCGAACCGGCTCCAGCTCACCACTGTATACAGGTGCCTCCAAATAATTTTTGAGCGGTGTCATTTTCTTCTGGACAAGCTTCTGACATCTCCTCCATGCACTTGAGTATCAAGTTTTCCTTGGTATTTGGAGTGGGGGCTGAAGGAGGGGGAACGATGACCCCTCGGGTTTGTTTCAGCAATATTAATGGGTGCGGGGGGCAGGCAGAGTTGTAGGAGAGAGATCTTTATTGGGCACGCTGAGGCTACAGAGTTTGTGCAAGGTGCCTGGCCCCTGCTTGCGTCCCTGAGCCCTTGGTGACACAGCAAACTAGGTCCTCCGGAAAAATGGCCCTCTTTGGCCCAGGTCAGGGGAGATGCTGCTGTCTTCGGTCTGGACTAGAACAGTTCAGAAGCATTCTGCCATTGCAGGATGTGTGTTATAGGAGCAGTCAGAGACCGTAACAAAGATCTGGACCCCCAGTATAGTCACGTGGAAAGAGACTGAGCCTGCAATCTGTGTGGGCAAGACAGGCCCAGGTTGGGAGGGGAAACAGAGGCACGGAGAGGGGAAGTGACTTGCCCAAGGCCACTTAATGGGTCAGTGGCAAAGCTCAGATCAGGGCCCAGCTGTCCTGATTCCCAAGTCCAGTGCCCCATCCACTAGACCCATGCCACATCCCACATATGTATGGGATTTGATCCCTTCTTGTTCCATTCATTCAGGTCACCTTTATGGAAGGGGGCCTATATGGTCTGAAAAAAACCTTCTGGTATTAGGAAGGTAGCTCCCGGAGGCTCCAGCTAGATGAGGGCCCATTGTGCTAGTAAAAGACAGTCCCCTCACTCCAAACAGACAGAGGATGGAGTATTATCCCCATTTTACAGACAGGGAACTGAGGCCCAGAGAGATTAAGTGACTCATCCAAGGTCCCCCCAGGGAGTCTGTGGCAGAGGCAGGAACTGAACCTACATCTCCCAAGACCCAGTCTGTTGCCTTATCTAGAAGCCCATCCCCTAAGCTGCAGATGCCCCCTAAAGAATGGGAAATGCTCTAAAGCTCATGTCTGCACACCACGCTTTCCGAGATGGCAGCTGAGTTTTCTAGCAGCAGCAGAATTGGCTGCTTTAAATGCTATATTTACAATACCCCCTGCCCCAGAGATTGTACCCTGGACCTGTAGCCCCACAAGTACCAACCCCCTTGAGCCAAGGGAACTATCTCATTGGCTGTGAGTAAGTGGAACCAGCCACTGGGGGCACCGCACTCCCACGGCCTACCCAATGGTTACACCCATAGATGAGTGAATCTGATTCTCCCCGCCCCTTCACTAAAAATACATCCAGGAGCAGCCCCCTCCCCCACGCCAGCACAGAAGATAGCCTGGTCCCCACTGAATCCCTCTCACATATCATGCAGTCCCCCTGCATAGCTGGGTTGGTGGGGTGCTCCCCAGCACCCCTTGCCACAGGTTCTTTTATGCACAATGTAGGCTCCAGCAATAAAACCCAGAGACCTAATCTGAGCTCTCAGGCATCTCTCTTGCCTCTCTGCACTAAGCCTTCAGCCACTTGGAATTGCTCACTGCCTTCCCGAATGGGTTTGTAGTTGATATTCTGCGCATGTCACTGGTAATACCTTTGTCTGATCTTTTGAAAATATTTTGCTGCAGTAAATGGAACTTGGGAGGGGGTTTTAAAAGTTTTTTATTATTATTATTATTTATTTGGACTGAATGGCGCACTGGAGAGAGGTGATGGATTGATGGCTCTTGTACCTAGAGTCACCTCTGTTCCTGTAGAACAGGAGAGCAGCAGGGCCAGCCAGCCAGCCCCCCCATGATTCCCCAATGATGGGCTTCTGTAGATAAATCTCTGATAATTTTCATATGACTTTACATTGTGCCTCTTCATATAACCTTGTAGTGGGTCTGCCCACGTGTGACCTCTGTTTTCATGAAACTTTGTATCAAAGCCTCATATAGAAACTTTGCATTGAACCTTGGTATAATGTTACAGCCCCTAAGGATAGAATAAGATAGAAGAAAAATGTCTCTTTGCTAAGAATAGACTAAGAATTTCCCCTCACCCCTTAATCAATTGCCCTGTTGAATGAATGAGGTGTGAATGAGGAAGGTGTGGAAGGCAAGTGCCTCCAGACAGCTGCAACAGTTGGAGAGGGGATGGAAGCCAGACCCAAGGACAATAAAACTTGTCAAGTGGGCTCACATACTTGTAAAACAATATCATTCTTGAGTTTTTATTTTAAGTACAAAATAAATATGTATAATGAATTTAAAAGTATGTAATCAGTAATTTGATATGTCGGGTGGCGCCTTTTTTTATGTGTTCGCTCCCCCTGATGTTAGAACCTGGCTATGCCACTGAACTGAGGATGCCAAATTCAGCACGAACTGCAGAGAAATAGGGCAGATACACCCCAAGACTGATGGCTAATCCCCCAGAGGATATACCAGACCAGCAACAAAAGTAAACTTCTGTTTCACCACAGTTGCTAACAAGAAAACATAAAGGCAGTTTCCTCAGGCATTCCAGTTCTTATCTTACCACCAAAAACACTGGATTCAGAGATGAGTGGTTCTTTACAACCAGTCTCATCAAATAATAGAGTCTTCTGATCCCAAAGGACCAGCCACACACCCAGGTCAATATATAACTTAGATCTTACCCAAAAATCACACTGATACCAATCCTGTAGTATCTAAAATCTAAAGGTTTATTCATAAAAAGAAAGAAAGAAAGGTGATCGTTAAAACTGGTTAAAGGAATCAAATACATACAGTAATTGCAAAGTTCTTGGTTCAGGCTTGTAGTAGTGATGAAATAAACTGCTGGTTTAAATCAAGTCTCTGGAGTACAGCTACAGCTTGTTTGGGTCATTCAGGCCAATGCTCAAACCACCGAGCTATCCCTCCCCCTCAAACCCAGGGTTGTGAGTTCAATCCTTGAGGGGGCCACTTAGGGATCTGGGGCAAAATCAGTACTTGGTCCTGCTAGTGAAGGCAGGGGGCTAGACTCGATGACCTTTAAAGGTCCCTTCTAGCTCTAGGAGATGGGATATCTCCATTAATTATTATTCAGTCCTTGTTTAGATCTTCAGTTTGTAGCAAAGTTCCTCCAGAGGTAAGAAGCAGGATTGAAGACAAAATAGAGGTGTTTCCAGGGCCTTTTATAGCTTTTGCAATGTGAAGGGCATCCCATTGTTCTTTTGTGGAAAATTACAGCAACAAGATTGAGTTTGGAGTCACATGGGCAAGTTACATGTTCATGCCCAATTTCCCTCAGTCATTGCAGGAAACCATTACCTACACTCCAGACAGAACATTTATTTCAGGCCCTGCCTCCGCCTTCCCCCATCCCCCGGCACCTCAGTGCGCCACGTCAGGAGTGGCCCTGGACAGCGCTGCAGCAGCGGGGCCTGAGCTCCTCCCACTGAGTCAGAGCCACGTGGTAAGGGGGTGGGGCTGCGCGCTCCATTCCCGCAGGAATCACGCCGCTGCAGCGCTGTCCAGGGGCCAGGGCAGCTCCTTGACGCAGCGTGCTGAGGCTCCGAGAGAGGGGAGAGGCGGCGGTAACCCAGGAGCAGCCCTGGACAGCGCTGCTGGGGGGGAGCAGTCAGGGGATGGGGAACGCGGGGTTGGCTCGTGGGCATTCCAGGGGTCTGTCAGGACTGGGCAGGGGGTGGATAGGGGTTGGGGCAGTCAGGGGATGGGGGGATTGGTGGGGGGTGGGGTTCCGGGGTGGTGGTGGTGGGGGTGACGGGGACAAGGAGCAGGATGGGTCGGGGATTCTGAGGGAGGCAGTCGGGGGGCAGGAAGTGGGTGGGAGTCAGATAGGGGGCAGGGCCAGGCTGTTTGGGGAGGCACAGTCTTCCCTACCCTAAAGCTCATTCAGCAGTTTGAGGCTTGCAGACAGCTATTTAACACAATGAGCCAAGCTGTTATCTTTTCCCTTAGGGCTACCATCCCTTTCACTTCTCAAATGCCAAATTATAGTCTACATTTAATTTCAGTGCCATAGGGAGATTCATGTCAGGGGAGGGTAGCTTCATTGAAAATTTGCTATTTTAGATTAACAGTGATAGAGACAAGAGAGCCATGGGGGAGGGATCACATGAGAAGAGCACTATCCTACACCATCTACTTCCTTCACAACCCTACAAAGGGAGACCCCCCACCCCACGCATTCCCCGAGGCTCCAGAGGGGTTATTTCTGTGGTTCTCAAACTTTTGTACTAGTGACCCCTTTCACATAGCAAACCTCTGAGTGTGACCCCCCCTTATAAATTAAAAACGCGTTTTAATATATTTAACACTATTATAAATGCTGGAGGCAACGCGGGGTTTGAGGTTGGAGGCTGACAGCTCGCGACCCCCAGTAATAACCTCGCAACCCCCTGAGGGGTCCTGACCCCCAGTTTGAGAACCCCTGGGTTAATTTAATTTTAGCACCGTGTGTCCATTCACATGCATGTGCTATTTTTGAGCATTTCAGTTTTCACAACATAGGCTCATCCCAGATTCTGGAAGAAGCTCAAATGCTCAGTTCGTGGAGTATGTCCATAAGCTATACTAAGACAAACCCATAGTAACCAGTTTGTGTGGGACCCCGTGGAGCCAGTCTCTAGGAAACAACCTCCATGAATTTATCTAAGTTCATTAATGGCTATTAGCCAGGATGGGTAGGGAATGGTGTCCCTAGCCTCTGTTTGTCAGAGGGTGGAGATGGACGGCAGGAGAGAGATCATTTGATCATTACCTGTTAGGTTCACTCCCTCTGGGGCACTTGGCATTGGCCACTGTCGGTAGACAGGATACTGGGCTGGATGGACCTTTGGTCTGACCCAGTACGACCATTCTTATGTTCTTATGTTCTAACCTAAATGAACCCAAAGTTATGGAGACAGATATGAGTCAAGGAAGCCAGCAGAGTATCAGAAACCTGGAAAAATCTCTGACTGGATGGGCTCAGGCGTTTGGTCACAAGCTGAGGTGGTTCAAAAGTTTTGGATTTTTTTTAAGCAGAATTTTTTTATTGTTTCTTTAAACAATCAAAGACAGCAAGCAGCAAATATTTGGCCACACACTTCTGAAACCCCAAACCATGTTCAGGTTTTGGCAGACTAATTTTGGCTTTTCAATTAAAAAAAACACAACAAATTTTGAAGGAAAGCAGACATTGTCCGTGATTTTTTCTGCTTTTTAAAAACCCCTAGTTTTCGATCCAAAAAAAGTTTTGACGGAAAATATTTGTCCAACCCTTTTAATGAGCTTTAGTGCCTTTTAGCACTAGCTGATGCTGAGAACCAATGATACCTTGTAAAGGTGACTTGAAAAGAAGTTTTCTCAAAACTGGGTTTGTACTGCGATCCAGAAGGTTTTTATATGTTTATTTTTCCCAGGGCCACCCGGGGGCGTGGGGGCAAGTGGGGCAATTTGTCCCGGGGCCGCAGGGGCCCCCACGAGAATATAGTATTCTATAGTATTGCAACTTTTTTTTATGGAAGGGGCCCCCAAAATTGCTTTACTCCAGGCCCCCTGAATCCTCTGGGCGGCCCTGGATGGGCGTCTCCCATGGTCCATTGTCAACCAAGTGTTTCTTGATGAGCCACTTAATTTGAATAGTCCCTCCAAGATGTGCTGGCTAGCTCCCTTGTGGGCGGTAACCCAAGAGCCAACATTTGAAATCCAGGTATAGAGCCAATACTTATAACTTCAAATACAAAAATGATACATGCATATAGATAGCATAATCATAACCAGAAAATCATAACCTTTTCATAGACACCTCACTTGACAACGTTTGTACAAGATTTGCTGCAAATATATAATAGTGGTTGCAACAATGCTTTATATGGTCATATTATAATCAGATAACGTCACAAAGGCATGTTTTGTAAGGGGTCATTTGAAAACTCATAATTTGCTGGTCAGTATTGTTCTGGTAAAATATGCATGGCAACATTGTATATGAAGTTATAAGACTCTCCCGGATGGTGTTATTAATACATGTTCCAAACCCTACAGCTTTGCCCAAACAGAAGTTGGCAAACAGGTCTGTCCTAGACAAAAGAATGTGTGCTTGCCTTAATTTGCATTTGAGCAGTAAACAGAGTCATCAAGCTTGAAGAGAAAACAAAGGAAGTTCAAACAGGTGAAAAAATCATCAGGGAACATCCTTTCACCTTGTTTCTTTGTCTCCTGGGTCTCAGTTGGAAATGTTTTTTGAGAGGGGGACTGAAACTACAAAAAAGGGGGGACAAACACCCCAAGGCACCCCTCTCTCTCTCCGTGCCCATGTCATTCACTACACTTGAAGAGACAAAGGAAGCAGTCATTGGACTCTGAGAGAAGGGTCCTGACATGGGAGTGTGTAATCGGCTGAAAGCATTTGATGAGAAACTTTGCTTGAATCTGATATTGTTTATGAAGTTAGGCATCAGTAAGAATTGTATCTTTATTTTTCTTGTAACCATTTCTGACTTTTATGCCTCATTATTTGTACTCACTTAAAATCTCTCTTGTTGTAGTTAATAAATGTATTTTACTGTTTTATTGAATCCAGAGTGTTTAAATTAAAGTGTCTGGATACCTGTCTGAGATAATAAACTGACATACTGTTCCCTTAAAGGAATAAGACTCAGTATATTTGCACTGTGCAGGAGAGGGCTGGGCCATGCAGAAGGTACATTTCTGGGGGGAAATCTGAGTCTGGGTTGTGTTGGGGTCACCCTGCAGTATAACCAAGCCTGGTGAGAGCCAGCGTGTAACCTGAATGTGGCTGGCAGGCTGCAGTTACACACAGACAATCAGGGTGTGGCTTGCATGCTGGAAGGCTGTGAGCAGCCCAGATGGAAGCTACTTCAGCAAAGCATTGTACGGCACCCAGGGTTGCAGGGCAGGGGTGACACAGCTGCTCATTGGTCTCAGTTGTACCCTGGTATGTCTTTCGGGCCCCAGTTACTTCAACATTCCCCACTCACTCCCATCCGGACCTGTAGTCGCTCTGAATTGACTGGGAGCCAAGGTGGGGGAGCTGACAGAGCCTTTTAGTTGCCGCTGGGATCTTTCTCTCCTACAGTGAAGGGTAAGCTGTGTGGAGGGGACACTTTCTCCTGTGGGAGTCTCCTCTCCCCTTGGAGCTAGTAAGGAGGGATGTCCTGTGGGAAGGGGGAGCTGGTGAGGGAACAGATCATCAACAGAAAGTGGCAGTTAGGGGACATTCTTCTGCTACGAGGTGCTGCTACTCAGCCTACAGAAGAAGAGCCCAGGCAGCTCCCCAGCAAGGCACCAGCACCCCTGCTGCTGGCACTCTAGTTGCCAGTCAGTGAGCAGGTAGGACAGACCGTTAGCAGGGAGGTGAGGGGAGAAGTTGTTTGTATAAAGTATTTTCCCCTTTGCTTTTAGCACAGAAACAGAAATTGTGCCCTCAGCTGAACACTTCATCATGACAAGGGAGCAGAGCCTGTCACAGGGGAACAACCGTCGCCTCTTTGAAGTCCCTCTGTCAAGCCTTCCACTGCCATGATGTGGGAAGGCACTTCCGTCTGGCGGGAGGAGGCAAGTGGTGAGCTGGGCCCTCTGCTCTTCTGCTAAACTCTGATCATTTTATTATCTTGGCCTCCCATCCTCCCTCCCTCTGTTTGTCTCCTTTGTCCACCCATTTGACATGCAGGCTGTGAATTCCTGAGGGCAGGGCTGTCTCTTGCTACTTGCCTGTATGGTGCCCAGCATAATGGGGCTTTGGCCTCCTAGGTGCTGCTGCCATTGTGAAAAGTATTTTATAAATAGGGCTTCTGTTCTTTCAAGTTTATGAATTTCATTGTTGGGGTTTATTTTTAGCAATGCTTGAGTTCGATGAAGATGTCCAAAAATCAGAGCTTTTTGGGACTTTCTCTTTGGGTATGTCTAGATTATGGGATTACTCCGATTTTACAGAATTCGATTTTTGGCAACAGATTGTATAAATTTGAGTGAATGCAGCCACACTAAGCACATTAATTCGGTGGTGTATGTCCATAATACCGAGGCTAGCGTCGACTTCCGGAGTGTTGCACTGTGGGTAGCTATCCCATAGCTATCCCATAGTTCCCGCTGTCTCCCCCGCCCATTGGAATTCTGGGTTGAGATCCCAATGCTTGATGGGGCAAAAAACATTGTTGCGGGTGGTTCTGGATACATGTCATCAGGCCCCCCTCTCCCTCCCTCCCTCCCTCCCTCCCTCCCTCCGTGAAAGCAACGGCAGACAACCGTTTCATGACTTTTTTTCCTGGGTTACCTGTGCAGACGCCATACTACAGCAAGCATGGAGCCTGCACAGCTGCCTAGGGTTACCATATTTAAAAAATAAAAAAAGAGGACACTCCACGGGGCCCTGGCCCCGCCCCTTTCCCGCCCCCGGCCCCGCCCCAACTCCGCCCCTTCCCCACCCCAACTTCGCCCATTCCCCGCCCCTTCCCCAAAGTCCCAGCCCTAACTCCCCCTCCTCCCTCCCAGCCATGCGAAAAGGGCTGCCCCAGCGCTACCGGCTTCATGGTTTGCCGGGCAGCCCCCAGACCCTGCGCCCCCGGCCAGCGCTTCCCCAGCGCAGCTGGAGCCCGGGAGGGGAAGCGCCCAGCTGGGGCGCAGGGTCTGGAGGCTGCCCGGCAAACCGTGAAGCCAGTAGTGCTCGGGCTTCGGACAGCCCCCTTGCCTCTGGACCCTGTGGGGCGCAGCAGGCAGCTCGGCTCTTAAACAGAGCCGAAGAGTCAGGGGAGGAGCAGAGCAGCTGGAGCCCAGGAGGGGAAGTGCCCAGTCGGTATTTTTCCCGGACATATTCAGCTTTTTGGCAATTCCCCCCAGACGGGGGTTTGATTACCAAAAAGCCGGACATGTCCGGGAAAAACCAGACGTATGGTAACCCTACAGCTGACCATCACCGTAATTCTCCTGGGTGCTGGCAGACATGGCACTGCATTGCTACACAGCAGCAGCAGTGCATTATGCAGATGGTGCATTAGGACTGAAAGCCATCGTCATCATACAGAGATGGGAGTGACTCAGCCAGGTCATTTCCCATTTTCTGCCGAGCACCCAGGAGATGATGAGGGCTAGCAATCATAATGCAGCATCTTCTGGCGAGCAGCCAGGAGATGACGATGGCTTGCAGTCATACTGCACCGTCTGCTGCCAGTCTAAGATGTAAAAGATAGATGGAGTGGATCAAAACAAGAAATAGACCAGATTTGTTTTGTATTCATTTGCTCCCCCCTCCCTCAGTGAAATCAACAGCCTGCTAAACCCAGGCTTTGGAGTTCAATTCTTGAGGGGCCTATTCTGTGTGACAGTTGTTTGTGTTTCTCTTTGATGCAAAGTCTCCGCCTTTGTGGATTTTAATTCCCTGTAAGCTATGTCGTCAGTCGCCCCTCCCTCCGTCAGAGCAAAGGCAGACAATCATTTCACACCTTTTTTCAGTGCAGACGCCATACCACGGCAAGCATGGAGCCCGCTCAGCTCAAGGCAGCAGTCATGAACATTATAAACACCTTACACATTATCGTGCAGTTTATGCTGAACCAGAACCTGCAAAACCAGGCAAGGATGAGGCGGCGATGGCAGCACGGCGACGAGAGCAATGAGGACATGGACACAGAATTCTCTCAAACCGCGGGCCCCGGCGCTTTGGAGATCATGGTGTTAATGGCGCAGGTTCATGCCGTGGAACGCCGATTCTGGGCCCGGGAAACAAGCACAGACTGGTGGGACCGCATAGCGTTGTGGGTGTGAGACGATTCCCAGTGGCTGTGAAACTTTCGCATGCGTAAGGGCACTTTCATGGAACTTTGTGACTTGCTTTCCCCTGCCCTGAATCGCCAGAATACCAAGATGAGAGCAGCCCTCACAGTTGAGAAGCGCGTGGCGATAGCCCTGTGGAAGCTTGCAATGCCAGACAGCTACCGGTCAGTCGGGAATCAATTTGGAGTTGGCAAATCTACTGTGAGGGCTGCTGTGATGCAAGTAGCCAAAGCAATCACTGAGCTGCTGCTACCAAAGGTAGTGACTCTGGGAAATGTGCAGGTCATAGTAGATGGCTTTGCTGCAATGGGATTCCCTAACTGTGGTGGGACGAAAGATGGAACCCATATCCCTATCTTGGCACCAGACCACCAGGGCAGCCAGTACATAAACTGCCAGGGGTACTTTTCAATGGTGCTGCAAGCATTGGTGGATCACAAGGGACGTTTCACCAACATCAACGTGGGATGGCCGGGAAGGGTTCATGATGCTCGCGTCTTCAGGAACACTAGTCTGTTTAAATGGCTGCAGCAAGGGATTTACTTCCCAGACCAGAAAATAACTGTTGGGGATGTTGACATGCCTATAGTTATCCTTGGGGACCCAGCCTACCCCTTAATGCCATGGCTCATGAAGCCATACACAGGCAGCCTGGACAGTAGTCAGGAGTTGTTCAACTATAGGCTGAGCAAGTGCAGAATGGTGGTAGAATATGCCTTTGGACATTTAAAGGCTCACTGGCACACTTTACTGACTCGCTCAGACCTCAGCCAAACCAATATTCCCATTGTTATTGCTGCTTGCTGTGTGCTCCACAATCTCTGTGAGAGTAAGGGGGAGATGTTTATGGTGGGGTGGGAGGTTGAGGCAAATCACCTGGCCACTGATTACACGCAGCCAGACACCAGGGCAATTAGAAGAGCACACCAGGAAGCGCTGTGCATCAGAGAAGCTTTGAAAACCAGTTTGTTTCTTCTTGATGAAATCCCGCCCCCTTGATTGACTCATTCCCTGTAAGCCACCCACCCTCCCCCCTTCGATAACAGCTTGCTTGCAAAGGAAATAAAGTCACTATCATTTTAAAACCATGTATTCTTTATTAATTGATTATAAAAATAGGGAGAGAACTGACAAGGTAGCCCGAGTGGGGTATGGGAGGAGGGGAGGAGGCAAGGAAAAGGCCACTTCAAAACTTGTTGAATGATAGCCTTCTGTTGCTTGGGGTGTCCACTGGGGTGGAGTGGCAGAGTGCACAGAGCCTCCCCCCCGCGTTCTTGGGCATCTGGGTGAGGAGACTATGGAACTTGGGGAGGGGGAAGAGCAGTTAAACAGGGGCTGCAGCGGCACTCTGTGATCCTGCTGCCATTCCTGAAGCTTCACCAGACGCCAGAGCATGTCCGTTTGATCCCGCAGTAGCCCCAGCGTTGCATCCTGCCTCCTCTGATCTTCTTGCCACCACCTCTCATCTTGAGCATCCCTCCTGTCCTCACGTTCGTCCCGCCTGTCCTCACGTTCATCCCTCCTGTGCTCATGTTCATTGGCCGCTTTCCTGTTCTGTGATACTGTGTCCTTCCACTCATTCAGATGAGCTCTTTCATTGAGGGTCGACTGCATGATCTCAGAGAACATTTCATCTCTCGTGCGTTTTTTTCGCCGCCTTATCTGAGATAGCCTTCGGGATAGAGGAGGGAGGCTTGAAAAAATTGCAGCTGCAGGAGGGGAAAAGGGGAGAGAAGTATTTAAAAAGATACATTTTACAGAACAATGGATATACTCTTTCACGATGAACTACACTATTCACATTACATAGCACGTGTGATTTCGGTACAAGGTTGCATTTTGCATCTTAATATTGAGTGTCTGCAGCTTTGGTGTTAGAGATCACAGACGCAGGGCCGGGCAACAGAATTTGGCTTGCATGCAGCCATGGTAAGCCAGTGTCTTTTGGCTTCTTCAACCTTCATAAAAGCAGCGCCCTCCTTTCCCATACCAAGCAAAGCCCATTGAGTGCTGCGGTTTTCATGCAGGAGCAGAAACCAAACTAACCCCCCCACCCTCCAGTTCTCTGGGATGATCGCTTTACCCCTCTCCCCACCATGTGGCTGGTAGGGAAGATCCCTGCTAGCCAAACGTGAACAGCTCAGCCCCACCCCCACCAGTTGGCTAACTGCAGGGAAGGATTTCTTTTCAGCCACAGGCAAACAGCCCAGTAGAAACGGCCACCTCTGTCCCCTTAATTAAATTCCCGTATTTCAACCAGGTTACCATGAACGATATCAGTCTCCTGAGGATAACACAGCAAGATAAAGAACGGATGTTGCTTAAATGCCAGCAAACTCCAGGACCATACTCTGCCAGGCTTTGTCATGCAATGATACCGGATTACTTGCTACTAGCATGGCATGGTAAAGTATCCTACCATGGAGGACGGAATAAGGCTGCCCTCCCCAGAAACCTTCTGCAAAGGCTTTTGGAGTACCTCCAGGAGAGCTTCATGGAGATGTCCCTGGAGGATTTCCGCTCCATCCCCAGACACTTTAACAGACTTTTCCAGTAGCTGTACTGGCTGCGAAAGCATCCCAAGTCCTCAGGGCAAATTTAAAAACGCTTGCTTTTAAACCATGTTTTATATTTACAAAGGTACACGCATCAGAGGTCCCTTCTCCGGCTTCATGGTCCGGGATACCACCTTGGGAGGGTTGGAAGGCTACTTCAGTCAGGCTGAGAAAAAGATCCTGGCTGATGGGGAGAATGGTGTGCTGTGTGCTCTCCGCAAGCTCGTCCTCTTCCTCATCTTCCCTGTCCGCAAAATCCTCAGGCATGGCCGAGAGTACCCCCTCCTCAGAATCCACAGTCAGGGGTGGGGTAGTGGTGGCAGCCCCCCCTAGAATTGTATGCAGCTCAGCATAGAAGCGGCATGTCTGCAGCTCTGCCCCGGACTGTCCGTTTGCTTCTTTGGTTTTCTGGTACGCTTGTCTGAGCTCCTTAACTTTCACATGGCACTGTAGTGAGTCCCTATTGTGGCCTCTCTCCATCATGCCCTTGGAGATTTTTTCAAATGTTTTGGCATTTCGTCTTTTGGAACGTAGTTCTGCTAGCACGGAATCTTCTCCCCATACAGCGATCAGATCCAGTACCTCCCATACGGTCCATGCTGGAGCGCTATTTCGATTCTCGGACTGCATGGTTACCTGTGATGATGAGCTCTGCATGGTCACCTGTGCTGATCAGCTCTCCACGCTGGGCAAACAGGAAATGAAATTCAAAAGTTTGCGGGGCTTTTCCTGTCTACCTGGCCAGTGCATCTGAGTTCAGATTGCTGTCCAGAGCAGTCACAATGGTGCACTGTGGGATAGCTCCTGGAGGCCAATACCGTCGAACTGTGTCCACACTAACCCTAATTCAAACCGGCAATGTCGATTTCAGTGCTACTCCCCTTGTCGGGGAGGAGTACAGAAATCAATTTTAAGAGCCCTTTATGTTGAAGTAAATGGCTTCGTTGTGTGGACGGGTGCAGGGTTAATTCGATTTAACGCTGCTAAATTCAACCTAAACTCGTAGTGTAGACCAGGCCTTTGTATATACACATAGCACCATTTCAAGCAGCACTACATTGAAGCACACTGGGGAACCTGTAATGCACACCAGATACACAAACCAATTAATGGGCAACACAGTTAAAAGTACATTTAAGAAATCACACCCTGTAGTCCACATTACTACTCCTTGTAGACAAGCCCTTAAGTACAAGCCAGGGAGTAGGGACATGGCCTGTATAAACCAACTGCACAGGGAAAGGAATGAAGTCAGCATGAACTAAGTGAACATTTCTAGTGTTTTTTAGTGTTTAATGGATAAACATCAGTTTATTTACTTGTACCAGGGTTGTTTTATCAGTGGTTATTGGTTAAAACTAGGGCTGTCAAGCGATTAAAAAAATTAATCCCAATTAATCGCACAATTAAAAAAAATAATCTTGATTAATCACGCAATTAATTGTGCTGTCAAACAATGATAGAATACCATTTATTTAAATATTTTTGGGTGTTTTCTATATTTTCAAATATATTTATTTCAATTACAACACAGAATACAAAGTGTACAATGCTCACTTTATATTTATTTTTATTACAAATATTTGCACTGTAAAAAACAAAGGAAATTGTATTTTTCAATTCACCTAATACAAGTATTGTAGTGCAATCTCTTTATCATGAAAGTTGAATTTACAAATGTAGAATTATGTACAAAAAATAATTGCATTCAAAAATAAAACAATGTAAAACTTTAGAGCCTACATGTCCACTCAGTCCTACTTCAGCCAATCATTCACACAAACAAGTTTGGTTACAATTTACAGGAGATAATGCTGCCTGCTTCTTGTTTACAGGGTAACCTGAAAGTGAGAACAGGCGTTCACGTGGCACTGTTGTAGCTGGCGTTGCAAGATATTTACGTGCCAGATGCGCTAAAGATTCATATGTCCCTTCATGCTTCAACCACCATTCCAGGGGACACACGTCCATGCTGATGATGGGTTCTGCTCAATAACAATGCAAAGCAGAGCGGACTGACACATGTTCATTTTCATCATCTGAGTCAGATGCCACCTGCAGAAGGTTGATTTTATTTTTTGGTGGTTTGGGTTCTGTAGTTTCTGCATCTGAGTGTTGCTCTTTTAAAACTTCTGAAAGCATGCGCCAAACTTCTCAGATTTTGGAAGGCACTTCAGAGTCTTAAACC